AGATGGTAATTGAGTGGGGTATATACTATCTTACTGGGGGAGAACTAAGTCAATTTTCTGACTGGATTGTATGTACAACATTAGCTAGACTATATAGACTGTGGAATGTATGCAATTCCAAATCCAGTGATAATAAAGATCAAAACAGGTAATCATGAAATGAGATGAGTAAACACCAAACTAGGTGTTAGGGATGGAATGGAACAGAAGCAGGATGTGAAACATGACAGATCATTTGACCATAATGGGAATGGGGCTCCATTAGAGAGCTGATGGGTTGTCTGGGCAGAGTCCAGTGACTGGTGTGTGAGACAGAGTTGGATATAGACAAGTTTGACATGCGCAGGTCCTGGCAGGCACTCCAGTTGTGACTGTACTTTGGGTACCATATAGAGGGCCAGGCACATATAGTGGGGTCTGGGTGCCAGTGGGTTTTCTATTAAAAATAGTATGAGTTGACTCTATTGCAATACACAATATACAAGGGTTTAATAAGCTTGTAATAAAAGTACTTTGTGTCTCAATATCTTGTGTCAGTTAGTGTAGCACCTCCTGACAATATAGGTTGGATGCTCTGGGAGGTGTATAGTGGTTCTGACACACATTAACCTCCAAATGCATGGTCCACAATTAGCATCTTCATATGAAAAGTTGCAATAATTGGTGGACTCCCCCTATAAAAAGGTGTGTTTCATCATCAAATTTAACATTTTCCAGTTAACTGTAACCTGGTGGTTATAGAGAGTTGGGTGCATGTTGGATGGGGTCTGGAGTCTGGTGGGTTTTCTGGTCCTAACAGTACCCTCCCTTTAAGGCCAAAGTCCCATAGAGGCCCTAGAATGTGATAAAGTTCATTGGTTACATGTATGTGTCAAAGAGTCATGTGATCTGGAAGGTAAGGTTCAACTGTGATGAGCCTATATATAAATTCAAAATAAGAAATTTTCTCCTCTTTCATACCCCCATCATCTACTCGCAATGGGTCCAAAACTCACACCTCAAAGGCCAAACACAAGAGCCAGGTGATCCACAGAGGCTGGTTACTGGGCCCCCTCACTGCTGCTCAATGATTTGAGCAGTGTGAAGAACAGTGGCGGCATCAGGAGGAGGACGAGAAAAGGGTGAGGGAGGAGGTGGAGGAGCTCAAGCAAGATTACCAGGCAGTGGTTACTGAGAAGGAGGCTGAAGAGTGAAAGAAGAAGGAAGAGGAGGAGGCAGCGTGGGTGGCTGCAGAGCACACCAGAGCAGCTGTGGAGAGGGCCAGAGCAGCCACAGAGAGGGCACAGGCAAGGTAAGTTCACTTTTACACATTTTTTTGACTTCACTGACTGTTGCTTACTAGCACAAAGCAGTAGAGGTAGAGTGTGAGGAGGTGGAGGCCAAGAGGGAGGCCAAGAGCCCCCAAAAGGCAAGTGGCAGGTCCACAAGAAATGTCTAAGGCTGACCAAAAACAACAGAAGTCAAAGAAAATGGCTCCAGTACATCACCTCAAAGCAGGGTGCTCACTGGTTCACAAGCCCACAGGGTCCCTGGCATGTGAAGCGGGAAGTGGGTGGCTTGGCAGAAAGGCTTGGGGCCTTGGAGAAAACTTTGGAGCAGATAGTGGGGGGCATAGTGGCCCAGAACCGGTTGCTTGAAGAGGGAAACTGGGTGCAAGAGACTATATTGGAGAGTCTATGGGGACTCCACAGAGGGTTCTGGGAGTTCTTGGTGGAATATGGAGGATATGTGTATGAGGAGTCCTGGGGTGGGAGTTCTGAGGAGCCCGAGGAGGAGTCTGGGGTGGCTGAGGAGCTGGTGGAGCTCCAAAAAGAGTTTAACAAGACTGGGGAAAAACATAGCCCCATTAATGTAGAGCAAAAAGACTAATAATAATGATTTAAAATTTCAAATAAAAACATGAAAAAGTCCATGAGAAGGTCCGCCAAGACTTAACAGACAATTCCAGAACCTGTAAAAGCAAAGAGAGACATAGGGTGACAAGGAAAAATAAAGTGAATCCAACATATACACGGTGTCTGTGGAATGCAGTTGGAGAGAGGATAATGGTCCCGGTTTGAGTGGGTAAGCTGTGTGAAAGTCAGTGATGATCTCTGTGGCATTCCTGAGTTCCATGGCCAAAATTCAAGATGTCTCTTCATCTGTGCCCTCGTAACCCACCCACTTGACCAAGTAAAGCAGTTTAAAAGTGTGTCGATGCTTATCTATTTTTGGTCTAAAATTTGTGAGATTTCAAACTCAGGTTCTCTGTCAATAATGACTGGAGGGGGTGGACTAAACATGAAGAAGTACACACATATTCTTCAAGGGGAAAGATAAATGGCCAGATCCATGATGGGCTAGGACAGCTATTACAGTAATCATGGAAAATTTGAACATAGATATATGAATAGTGGAGATAGTATGAGGTTTTGGCCTGTGAATGTCTAAACTCTAGTTGCGAATGCCACACCACTTGTGAGGTGGCTAGAAGATAATTGTGGTTTCTTGGTGTTTTTCTGGGGACAAAATATACCACACTTCACATCAAAAACACTCTCTTGGGTATTCCAATAAAACCCAGAAGTTAACCCACAAATGAGATAAACATCAGCATTTAAATATTCACACCATGCACACAGCTAATATCCCATACATCTGATATATATAAGCTAGAATGGGTTTGGTGAGATTGCCAAAACAATTATGACACCTCTGATTATTCCAAAGTCCCCCCCTACAATATTCTATTGGTCCTCTCAGCAACTCATGTGATCTACCAAAGTGACGGTCTTAGACATGATTTTTCACTGAGAAACAGGATGAGTCTGTGTCATGGCACAATAACTATTGCCGTGAATGCTTTGACTTCCCAGTGTAGCGCCTGATGGAACACGCCCCAAGCACACGATGCTGAGCTCGACTTCTCAGCGTAAAGCCTGATGTAAAATGTACCAAAGCGCACAATTATGAGCTCAGAATGGATCATGGAGGTGTTGGGGCACCATGAGCTGTGGAAAACCACAGGGGAATGCCACATGGTACATACATTCCGCCGCAATAGTCAAAACCAGTGTGGCGTCGCAAGCCCCGACTTGTTCACGGCGGTGGCAGCAGTTGTTTCTTTGGAGCAATTAAACTTGAAGTGCAACCTCTTACCCCAAAGCTTGAGTGACACATTATTATCATCCCAAACTAAAGAATTTCAATTAAATTTGTGTTATAAGTGCAGTCAACCCTACCTAGGGTTTTGTCCTGGAACCCCAACTGGACGCACAAAGGTGAAATTTTGATATTGTCTGAGATGCATATATACACTCATTTCATTTTTTATGCAGAGATCTGGTTGTCACATTAAAACCTATGCTACAAAGTCAGCCAAGTGTCGCTTCCGCACAAGCTAAAACATCTGGAAAGCTCCTATATTTCCTGAGTATATTTTGCCGTGCCTCTCACACCGACTCGCTGATCCTCTATCACCTGCAGAATCAAGTAGAGCGGACTTTTCTGATGTCAAGCTCTGGACGCGAAGCAATTGGCAGAAATTCACGAAGAATCATCGAGCATGGTAGGAATTTCAAAATTTTTGGTTTTCTGACAAATGGAGAGAATCAGGCACTCGAAGGCAGTCCGACTAGTGCATGACTGACTATGCGATGCAATTGTGGAACTCGCTGCGTGCGGAGAAAGAAGACTCAGAAAGTTGGGGGAGTCGGAATGCATTTGCGAGTGAATACTTCAGCAACAACATGTGCACCATATTCCTGAATTTCAGTGATGGGAGGGCAATTGGAAGGTACAGGCATTTGCGATGGTGCAGTATCCAAGCTGGGTTGGTCAAACTCAGAAATCAAGTGAAATTGTGATATGCATTACTTCACAATCACTGATCATCATTTGACAGTCCCTGGCTCTAAAATAAAGGGTGAAAATGACAGGAACCCCAATAGCCATCATAGGAAGAAACAAATCAAAAACAAATAGGGAACAAATGTAGTCTCCCCTCCCTGCACTCATATCATTGGCCTCACCAGTAACAAGCTTTCTAGTTCAACTAATCCCAGTGCTTCATCATTGTACCTCCATCTATAGACAGACATTATAAGCTTTTTACTGGGCCATATACTATAAGTCATCTTAAGATTATGTGTATCAATTGATGGACAATGGGTCAGTATTTAGGATGGCCACAGAGGTGATTCTTGAGATTCTTATAGTAGATACACAGTAAGTGATATGCAGATTATCTGGGTATTCACACAATGGTAATTCTTGAGATTCTTAGTGTACATATACAGGTCATGATATACAGACTATGTGGGTGCTCACACTGAGGTGATTCCTGAAACTCTTAGGGTAGATACATAGTGCATGCCATGCAGAAAATGGATGTGATCACGCAGTGGTGATTATTGAGATCCTTGTGATAGACACAGAGTGTATGATATTCAGATTTTGGGACTGAGTTACACTGAGAGGATTCTTGAGATCCTCAAGGAAGACACACAGCACATAATATGCAGCTTAGAGGGGTGCTCACATACTACATGTCAACATATCATCTTGAGATTTTTTGTATTAACTGATGGATGAGCCAGTATATAGAGGCAGTCACCCAGAGTAAAATCTTCATATTCTAGAGGTTGACCCACTGAGTGAAACCTTGGGATTTATAAGATTGCTAGGGTGGACACACAGTCCATGATATGTACATAGATTATAGGAATGTTTACACAGTGATGATTCCTGAGATTCATAGGGTAGTTACATAGAAATTAATGTGCACAGTCTAGAGTTGTTTGCACAGGTGATCCTTGAGATTCGTTGGGTAGATACACAGACCATGATATGGAGATAAAAGGAGTGCTCACACAGTGATGATTCTTGAGACTCTTAGGACAGCATGCAGCATCTGATATGCATGCTATAGGGTTGTTCACACAGAGGTGATTATTGAGATTGTTCAGGTTGGTACACCACATGTTGTGCATGTAAGAATTACATAATAGGGTGAAAAGTATTGACCTGAGTTGGATTTGAACCAGCAACCACTATGTCTGGATTACATGTCTAGTGCTCTTAACCCCTGAGCTATGTATCAGGCCATTAAGGGTAGTTCTGTTAGGAACCAATCACTACTGAGATGGTTAATCATCAGTAAGATATTAGTTTATCCAAGTCAACCATTTCTCATTCAACAGTGCAGAGTATCAGAGTGCTCAGTGGTTATTCCTGAGGTGTTTAGGGTAACCACACAGCACCTGATATGCATATTCTAGAGTTGCTCACACAGATGAGGTTCTTGAGATTTCCAGGGCAGCAACTCAGCACCTGATGTGCACATTATAGAGTTATCCACACAGACATAATTCCTGAGATATGTATATGTATACACAATACATAAATATACAGATTGTTAGAGTGTTCACACATTGGTGTCAGTGCATCATTGAGCCATCCACTATCTCATCTTAAGATTTTGTGTTTTAACTGATGGAGCTGCCAGTAATAGGTTCAATAACACATTGTTAAATCTTGAGCCCATGGTATTAGCCATAGGGAGAAATCCTGAGATTCCATGGGATGACCAAAGGTGCAAAGTCTCAGGATCCCATGGGATGAACCACAGAGTCAAATCATAGGATTGGTGCATACAGCATACTCCAGAGATATTTAAACACATAACATAACAGAGTACAACCATGAGATTCATAAGAGTGGTGTGTGCAGTATAATCTGGAGATATTTAAGCATATAACACAAAGTAAAATATTGATACTCCATGGGATGACCAGTAAAGCAAAATCTCAGGATTACAGAGGATGAACCACAATGTGAAATCTTATGATTTATAAGATAGGTGTATACAGGATAATATGGAGCCATTTAAGCATATAGTGCAGAGTAGAAACTTGAAATTAGGATCTCATAAAATTGGCTGAATACAACATTAAGCATAAAATGCTCACAAGACTAGTTTGAAATCAAAGAATGCCAAGTGGCCGTCACAGTGAGGCTCCTTTTTGGGATCTGTACCTTAAAAAAGAAATAACCAGGGTTCTGTATAACTGGAAATCAGTACAGGCAGACACGTCCAACAGATTCCATCTGCAAGACAGCATCTTCATGGTAGACAGCAGGATTTCGAATAGAGATGGAGACACAGACAGAACTTAGTGTATGAGCCCTATTTGTTTACTTGCAGAACAGCACAGTTATACATTTCAGACATGAATGATTCAAGGATGGCTTCCAAGATTCACTGATAGGTTATTATAAATGAGATAAGAGCTGGTGGTTTGTACACTATTTTCGGTGAGTAGGGCATCTCCTCAACTGTTTGGATCTCTTCCACAATTGGACCACCCACCCACCCACTTTCAAGTGAAGAATGACATAGATCACCTATTTGTCTTTTATATAGAGAACCTGGGGGGGAAGCTTTGCAGGGAAGAACAATGGCAAAGTACTAATAGCACTCCAATCTGACACTCCCAGCCTCCACATGGTCTATACCATGGCATAGCACCCTCTGGCAACACTCCCGCATCAGTGGAGGTCGGAGCTATTGGGCTGGTGATGCCTACATATGTAATTGTGTCTGTCCACCAATTTCCGTCGACGTTGATTCCCAATTCCACCCACATCACTTTGACACATAATTGCCATTTGACTGTTGCCTCTGAGCAAAAGCCTTTGGTGCATGTCATCTAGTCCACTGTTTTACAGTGTCTATCACACTGGTTCCTATCATATAATGGACATGACACCTATACTATCTGTCCCTTTGCATGGCTGTGGTGGTGAACTACACAACAGGAAGAGTAGAGCAGTGAGGAGGAATGTTGAGAAGAGAACACCACACTATGGAAGGAAATGGTGCCCCTTTGTTTATGCTTGCTGCATAATCATGTCTGTTGATCCTTCAACATCTCTTTGACTTACTTTGGGGCATAATCGTGTCCACTTCATTGTCTCATCACCACCTCATTTTTTTGCATTTGTGCTCAACATCCTCAGCTTTGTCACCTTATCTGGCCTATCCAATCAGCATGTCTGCTATCAATTTCTGACAGCATCGATTTCAAATACTGTCCACAACACTGAGAAGCATAAATGTTGTTTTATTATTGCCTCTGTGCATGTTCACCTCACCACTAAAATGAGGAATTTTTTGGGGTGTTATTCTACACCACCATCCTATTATTGCCTCTGAGGAAAACTTTTTTGTGTGCCAATCTGCATACTATCACCTTTGAGTAAACTTTTAGCATGCCATTTTGCATGGTCATCTGCTGCGTTGCCTCTGAGCACATTTTCTTTGCTGTCACTTCTCTATCAGCCATAATTCTTTTTTGGATTGCCTTTTCCACCATCTACTACAACCACTCTAAAGGGAATTGGACCAAACCATCCCTAAATAGTCATTTTGGAGACAAAATTAATGGCACATTATAAGATACAAACCCATTTCTTTTTCTTGAAATATGACCACCTTACTTTCACAGGTACATGCATAATCGAGAGACAATACCATTGTGAGGAACAAGACCCTAACACCATAACAGGGCAGAAAGCTTCAGGCCAAATCCCACTCCAGAACACCATCAAGAATTTATTATGTATTATTTTTAACTACTTGTTTAACAGTGCATTGGTCCTTATAGAAGACTATGTAAATGCATGAGGAGAATTTTAGCTCTGCCTTATGCAACTAATCTGTTGATGTTTGCTAAGCTGATGTGAGTTGAGGAGGAGAATTTAGTCCTACCTTATGCAACTCAGCAAGCTTATCTGGCTGACAACAGCATTTCCTTGTCTGAGAGCATTATTTTCCACATTCAAGGGCAATATTTTCCTCATTCAATTACCACACCTTCCTCATCTGAGTGCTAAATCTTCCTCATTTGAACATTATTACCTCAAGCAAACACACCCTGCTAGCAGAACAGGAGGAGTAATGCATCGGAGACCTACTCTACCTTGCCATTTTCACCTTACACCTACTGACTTCATTTGACTTTATGGTTTCCTCCATCTCCAGTAGTGATGACTCCCATGCATGAGGAGGAGCTCATTAACTGTTGTTCATGCTAAGGAGGAGTGTTGGAATGTGTACATCATGAAAACAAAACCTGAAGTTCAGATCTATTTTTAGAATGACAAAGGAGTGGTGTCACTCACCCTTTCCTTTGTTCTACTGCTTATTGTTCTCAGTGTTTTATTGTTCTACCAAAGATATATAAGCAGTAGATTATACTTGACCGTACTTGTATCTATACAAGACTGAGATTATCTAGGTCTCACTTTCTAACATGTAAGGGAGTGAGACTCCCTACACTGTAATCTTGTGATAATTACACGTAACATCACATGTTCTATTGTATTGAGCGGCACATGTTTCTTTCCCATTGCCTCCATATTTCCTTTGTTTTATTTCCTTGTGCAAGGATTATATTGTCATCTTCTTCTAGAATATTCCAGCTCCATTGTTCCTCTTTTTTCCATTGTCTTCAGCATGTGCCTTTGTTCTTCAGATCATGCCACTTGTAGTTTTGCTGTTTATAAAGTCTCTCAAGTTCTGTAGAATATTATCAGATTTTCACACATCTATTCTCATCAGATATTTGTGCTCACAGGACAACATATCCTACAACATCAGCTACATACTTGGATTCAGCCTGAATGGTTCCCAAGGGCTCATCACCCTAGATTCTCGATAGCACATCAGAAAATGTATTCAACTCTCTGGGAATATAGTGAATCTCACAATTGAATTCATTTAAAATATCTGCCAGCCAATTTGTCTGCCTTGGGGATAAGCTTTTCTGCATAAGTATATATTCTAGACCCTTATGGTCAGTACAGATTCAAAATTTCACCCCCAACAGCTGTGACCAAACCGTTTCAATGATTCAACAATTGCCAACAACTCCTGTTCATGAAAAGGATAGTTCTATTATGCCGAGTTGAACTTCCCTGACCACAGCTGTTAAGATCTTCACCCTGACTAAGAACACTGCTTGCACCTATTACCAAATTAGTGGTTGGGTGACCTGGTGAGTAGTCCAATGCAATTCTATAGCTGTCACGATGGGCCTGAACAATGCACTTAACATCTTCAAATGCATGCTGCTCAGTTGCACCCCAATGCCACTGCCTGTTTACTCCTGTCTGGGCTGCTAAAATGGCCATCAGGATTAGAACCCTTTTAGAATTATTAGCAAGGTATCCCACTGCCCCCAGAAACCCACCCAGAGGTAGCTTATTTGTCAGGATCTTCCAGTTGAACACTTTGTTTACCTTATGTGGGTCGATTTTGATACCCTTGTCATTAATCACATTTCCTATTACTTGTAGTTCTGAAGTGAACAAGTGCAATTTATTGACAGCCAGATACCCTTTATCCTGACAGGGCACCATGAACACAGTGTGTAGATGCTCTACATGATTGCTAATGGAGCCTGAATATATGACAATATCATCCGAGTATTCATCCATAAAGACACCAATGTAAGGCACAAAGATGTGATTCATTAGTGCCTGTAGGTGGATGGACAATTGCAATCCCCAATTTGTAATGTTAGGCCTTCCATAGTGCCATTGGAAGATGTAAACAATGTTGGGTGGACATGCTCGGGAATGACACAGATCTGCTTGTATGCATTCTTCCCATCTATCAGACTACAATACTTATGACACACAATGTTCTGTAAAATGGCCTCAATATCCAGCAAGGGAGTAGTAGCTAGCTTATGCATGTTAGCATTCTGCTCACACTTATCCACTACTGTGCATATTCACAAAGTACCATCAGCCTTTGGAGGTTTAGGAATCATGAGCATAGGACATGCATTTATGCCCATGGCTACTCTCCACCTCCCTGATATACACACTTTTCCTTCCATGCCAGAGCTCCCTCATTGCTTCTAGACATTTGGATGGCCCTCCACAAGTAAATATTTGTGTCATCAATGATTGGATTGGTATGACTAACAGCCCTTAATGGAGGCAGTCCCCTTGATGCTGTGTCTGGGTAAAGTTCAGCTGCTTCAGGACATACACTTAACCTCTCCAATGTTTTGTCAAAAAATTCAGTGACCAC